AGTTTATATTTTTTAGTCAAAAAAATGTGTGTGTGTGTGTGTGTATATATATATATATATATATATATATATATATATATATATATATAAACATATGTACGTACATGTGATTAGTCTTTGATTAATCAAATATTTAGTTCGTGATTAGTCTAATTTGGACATGAAATTAGACATTAACAGGGTGTTTGGTTGAAGAGAATTTAAATTTCTCTTCCCACTTAATTCCCACCTAATTTCAAACGCCACAAAATTTTCTTGTTTGGTTGAAAGAAATTGCAATTCCATGGAATTGCAATTCCCCCATTTTCATGGAATTAAAAATCCCATGTCCCCCTCGGGATTTTAATTCCTGGGATTTTAGGAAGAAAAAAAAGATACCGATGAGTCAAAATTACACATCCATTTTTTAACCTAAAATTAATGCTTGACAACAACAATTGACATTTTGGATTTTATACTACTTATTCCCTTTCAATTCTCATGTATACCAAACATTGTAATTGAAATTTCCATTAATTATATTCCTGTAAACCAAACACTAGAATTTAAATTCCCACTTTATTCCCAGTAATTCATCTCCCATGGAATTGCAATTTCTTTCCCATGTAATTCTCCCTCTCCAACCAAACGCCATGTAAGGTGTATTTGGTTCATGGGGTGACACAAGAAATGATAATGAAAGTCATAAACATTGTTTGGTGGACAATTTTTTTAAAACACATGTATAGGATTTGATTACCTTTATTATTATTATTATTATTTTTTGTGAGGATTTGATTACCTCTATAATTTGAAAAAAAAAAAAAAAAAGAAGCAAAACTCATTACCTAATTTAAATAAGGTATCATTTCTTTAATTGAGCCTTATCTCTACTCATTTCATCGCTTCCTCATTTCGTCGCCTCCCCACTGGCCACTACACAAGATTAGTGCTTTTAGATTTTTTTTTTAGATTTTTTTTTTCATATTGGTTATTATGATCAATTGTCTTGATTTTTTGTTTTGTTTTTGTTTTTTTGTATTTTAAAATATTTATTTCAATTATAAGGTCATACATAACTAAACAATCATATTGGTAATCATTCCAATTTCACTTTACTACCAAACATGTAAAATATTTTCACCAAAACTTATTTCATACCAAATATTTGATTACAAACACGCTCTAAATTAGACACATTCTAAGCAAATAATTTCTCCAAATTTGACAACTTGTAGTATGTACAAATTCACAGATTTTGGACAAAAGGATAACTCCATGTCGATTGAACATTAAGGGTAAAACTTATCCTTAATTGAAATTCAAATTCGAATTTGTAACTTGTCCATGTTGGTTGACATCTTAACTAACACTTTAGATTCCCTCAAAAAAATATAATAAAATAAAAAACTTTAGACACCTATAAATAGGTGTATTTGGTAATATGCCTTATAGAGGAAAGGATCCTTCTACAGTTGCTCATCTTCACACATGCAACTTCATCATCTTGTTGTTTATGCTCTTACTTGAGCTACAAATTGATGTATAGTTTGAATTTAATTGTGTTATAATTCAGGCTTGTGAAAGACGATAATTATAATATTTTTAGATATTTTTATGCAAAAGCAATCGGGTGGTCAAGTTGGACATCAACAACATGGTGGAACACCGGGCGCTCGTGGACACAGACAGCTCGGTGAACGTCATGTACTATGACACGTTCACCCAGCTGGGACTCTCAAGAAAATAGTTGGAGCAGGTGAGGACCCCTCATCTGGGTTTACGGGAGACTCAATTGACACGGAGGGGTCAATCAATTTGGAGGTGGAGATAGGCGCCCCACCCCCCACCAAGAGGTGGGAGGTCGAATTCGTGGTCGTCAGATTCAGCGGTGCCCACAACATGATACTCGGCCGACCCACCCTCGAAGACCTCAGGTGAGTGATTTCCATGGAGCACCTGTGCCTTAAGTTCCTGACACCAACCGGGTCGGGGTCGCCCGGGGAGACCAAAAGGTGAGCCGCAGTTGCTACTTAAAGGCATGTCGCCAAATTGGTCAAAAAGATCTCCAAGTCCACACCATAGCCAAAAAGAAGTTACGAGAGGAAGCAGGTCGACCTCACGCTGAGCCTGTGATCGAGACAGAAGAGGTCGTGCTAGACCTCAACCGACCCGACCGAGTTGTAAAGGTGGGAGTCGGCCTCCCGGCCGAGCTCCGGACACGGATAATTGACACCATCAGGAGCTACAAGGACGTCTTTGCATGGGGTCCCTAGGATATGCCGGGCCTCAGCCGAGACGTAATCACGCATAAATTGGCTATAGACCCCGCGATGGCATAGTCCCGCAGGACTTAGCTTAGGAGGCTAACACAAGGCCTTTTGTCAATAAATAAATAAATAAATAAATAAATAAAATGGCTTTATTTTAGCACCTTGCCGCTGCCGAGGTGCGTCGCTCAACACCTCGGCAAGACCGAGGTGCCTCGTGGTGGCACCTCGGTACATTGCCGAGGTGCGTCGCTCAAGCATTCAAGTCGGGGGGGGGGGGGGGGTGGGGGGGTGGGAGCAGCCGCATTATGAGCGTTCACCTCCGTGGCATACTCGGCCAGGCTCTCGGGAAACTGCAGATTCTCTAAAGTGGGGGAGGCAGGGCCAGGAGAAAGGTGGTTCTCCGCAACATAACTGTCAAGGGAGGCTAGGTCCACGGGCTCCTCTCGTGTGTAGTTCCCCTCCGATGGCGCAGGTGAGTCAAGGGCGGCCAGGTCAGGGTTGGGCTCCATCTCCGGTAAGCCTCTACTCACGGGGTCAAAAGAGTTGTCCTGCTCACGAAGAATGGTGTAAATCTTGTTTTGCATCCGGTACAAGCCTGTCTCGTAGGCCGCCAACCCCTCGCCGGCCACCCGGCGACGGCCCTCGTCCAAGGCAAGCCACTCCTCCACCAGCTCCACCTTGTGATCACGAGCGTAGGACATTGCCTTGGTCTTGAGGAAAGTGGGGACGACGCGGGAGAGCTCCCCACGCATTTTCTCTAGCTCGAGGCGGTGGGATCCTGTGTATATATATCCTGTGTAAAAAAAAAAAAAAACTGGCACATAGAAACACATCACAAAATATTAGAGTATAATTACAAATTATTAAAGGGTCAAAACAAAGTAAATAAAAATACAAATATTTGCTTACATTAAATAGAATTAAAATTACAAATTATTATAAATTTATTTGTAAACAACATTTTGAGTAGTATTTAAAAATTATATATATACACATATGGGCTGCAAGAAATTAGTAGAACATGAAGCCCAAAATATTATACAGCTCAACAAAAATATATGGAGAGCCCAAATCCTTAAAGTCCATGTATAAATATCCAAAAATTCATCTCCGCGTATTCATTATACCCTGCACCACGGCGCACACAGCATTGTGCGTCCTGCGCCTCCCAAAACGACGTCGTTTTGGTAAGTTATGTAGGGAGTTAACGTGATTATGTACATTATGGTATACAATTATGTGTATTTGTTTATACAATTATGTACATTTTTTTTATACAATTGTGTACATCTAAAACAGGAAATTTTATTATGTTAAGAGTTTATGTGTATTATGTTAAAAGTTTATGTGTATTATGCATTACTAGTATTTTCACTCGTGCGATGCACGGAATTGATTTGTTGTAATATATTAAGTATATTTGAATCGATATATAATTATTTAAATTAGAACATCAAATATTATATAGTGCAATTAAAGATATGGTTTGGATCGTTTATGTATTTTGATGTTATCATTGCTTGAATTTGTGCAAATAATTGCTCAAATTAATAGCTAATGTCTAGATGTACGCATGCGGTGCTATAATTTTGAATATTTTATTTATCATTGTTTATTATTTTTATAAGTTAGACAAGTTAGATAAGTTATAGGAATGAATTGCTATCCTAATTCATTTGTACGGAAGATATATTTTTTGTCTAGATATATAGCAATTTTTTCATTAAAAAAAAAAACATAATATCATGCACCGATTATATTTACACATTATTGAAACCTCTTTGTAGACGACATTGGTATTGGCAACACAATCTTGTTCATCCTCGTCCAAAGCTAACACCTTCAGTTCATCAGGACAGGTTACTCGGATAAAAATATATAATGGTAGAATATCACTCAATTAGTGATCCTTTTATATTTTCAGTCAATTGGTAATATCATATTCATTTTCAGCCAATTATTATTATTATTATTATTATTATTATTATTATTATTATTATTATTATTATTATTATTATTATTATTGTTGTTGTTGTTGTTGTTGTTATTATTGTTATTGTTATTGTTGTTGTTGTTGTTGTTGTTATTGTTATTGTTGTTATTGTTGTTATTGTTATTGTTATTGTTGTTGTTATTATTATTGTTATTGTTATTGTTATTGTTATTGTTATTGTTATTATTATTGTTATTCTTATTGTTATTATTATTGTTATTATTATTATTATTATTATTATTATTATTATTATTATTATTATTATTATTATTATTATTATTATTATTATTATTATTATTATTATTATTATTATTACTGTTATTGTTATTGTTATTGTTATTGTTATTGTTATTGTTATTGTTATTGTTATTGTTATTGTTATTGTTATTATTATTATTATTATTATTATTATTATTATTATTATTATTATTATTATTATTATTATTATTAGGGAAAATCAACAATTTGGTCCCTCAATTGTTAGCGAAATATCAATGTAGTCCCTTAATCGCGTAATCATCGATTTAGTCCCTAGAAATAACTGTTTTTAGTTGATTTAGCCCCTCCGGTCGTAGCCCATCCAAAATCAGGCGATAGCTCCGATTTGCCATGGGTAATTTAGTCATTTTTCTTTTTAGTCTTCTTCCATTGTTCTCTTTTGTTTCTTTAGTCTTCTTCTTCTTCAACTAAACTCCTCAAGCACTCGGATTCAGAGGGCTTTCGTTTTCTTTGCTGAATTCATCGTCTGTTTCTTTCTAGGCATCAACACTTTTAGTAGAGCATGGAGAGCAGCCTGCCCTTATACTTGAATGGGCCAGTGAAATTCTTTGAGCCTTCAATGGAGTTTCGGTTTCTCTGCTGAATTCATCATCTGTTTCTTTCCAGATATCAGCACTTCTGTAAGAGCAGGGAGAGTAGCCTGAGGCTCTACTACTTGACTTGGCCAATGAAATCCTCAAAGACTTTTGTGCAGGACTTCCATTTTCAGTGTCAAAATCGCATTCGTTTCCTTTGTTTGACTTCACTAGAGAAATTCTCTTTAACTTTGAAGAGGGACTAGTGCTAATACAATCAAATTCAAACACATTTTCTTTTAAATCAACATCTTTTGGTCCCGGTTGACATGATTGCATCACCATATCTATGGCTTCCTGGTTCTCAACCTACATCAACAAAATACTAAAAAGTTCAAAGGATTACTGCTACCTGTAATAGTGTGATATCATAATTTTTATTTTATTTTTGAAAAAAAAAAGATTGGCTTGTTAATTCTACCAACCTTGTCCCAAAGTCCATCTGAAGCTAAAACAAGATATTGCATATCTGTAGTAAGGCACATTATCTTTGTGTCAGGCTCGGCCACTACCCAGTCCTTCAAATGAGCATCTCCAATGCTTCTGGAAACCGAGAGTACACCATGAACTCTCCAAGCTCCTCGGTGAATCTCAACGTAGCCTCCCTATACCAGAAGCTCAAAGAAGTTGTGATCAGCAAACACTGCTCTCCTTCATGTTATTAGTTCAAAGAACAGTTTTGATGCAAGAAAAGAGGTACCTTATCCTTGATCCTTCTCCTCTCATCCTCTTGTCTAGCTCTATGATCTCTCGTAAGGACTTCAGCTACTCCACTCCTACAAAGAACTGCTCTGCAGTCCCCTAAATTGGAAACTATGATCTCCGATCCTCTCCTTCAATCAAACCAGCGACGCAGCAGGCACCCAGACTAAAGAAACTAAAGAGAACAATGTAAGAAGAAGACTAAAAAGAGAAATGACTAAATTACCCATGGAAAATCGGAGCTATCGCCGGATTTTGGACGGGCTACGGCCGGAGGGGCTAAATCAACTAAAAACAGTTATTTCTAGGGACTAAATCAATTATTACGCGATTAAGGGACTACATTGATATTTCGCTAACAATTGAGGGACCAAATCGTTGATTTTCCCTTATTATTATTATTATTGTTATTGTTATTATTGTTATTGTTATTGTTATTGTTATTGTTATTGTTATTGTTATTATTATTATTATTATTATTATTATTATTATTATTATTATTATTATTATTATTATTATTATTATTATTATTATTATTAATTTTTTTTTTTGCGAGGTAAAGTGTTCAAAGTTCGGGAAGGCATAACTTTTGACTCGGTTGTCCATTTTGGACATTTTTTTTTTCAAATCGCATATTTTTTTCGAGATCTATACACCCCAAAGAGCCAAAGGCGGTATGACCCTCTAATTTCTCCAAAAAAAATGCTTCTTTTGCTCTTAATTTTAATTTTTTATGTGTTTAGATGGTTTCAACAATATTCAAAATGATTTTACAACCACTTACGTAAATAATTTGTATGAAAAAACTAGAAGAACCTTATGTTTTTACTATTGAATTTTAAAATTTTTAGTTTAATTTTTTTTAATTTTTTAAAAAATAAAAATAAAAATAAATAAATAAATAAATCGGCGCCTAGGGGGCGCCTAACGTTTTTTGCAACCTTGCCCAATACCTACATATACAAGCTACTACATTAGATGTCCCAATAATCGCCTCTAATGGACCACAAGGTCGTTGGTAGGTCACCATGATATTGACAACCACAAGAAGCCTAGCTATTCACTTTGCATTTTCCTAACAATTATTTCTCAACAGTTTTCAGCCATGGCGAGTGACAATACTACACTTCGCATCGTGATGCTTCCATACAGGGCCTGCTTTTAGATTTTTGTGGTCCTGTTCTGGTAAATAAATGAGGTCCTACCAAAATGACAATTTTAAAAGTAATACCGTCTTCTTTTCTAATAATAAGGTGATAAAATGTTGTCGTGCTCAAAGAAAAAACAAAAAACAAAAAACATATTATGGAATAAATTACAACAACAACAACAACAACAATAATAATAATAATAATAATAATAATAATAGTGTGCGCAAACTTGCAATGCAAACGGATTAAAAAAGGAAGAAGAAAAAACATATTATGGAATAAATTACAATAATAATAATAGTGTACGCAACTCACAATGCAAAATGATTAAAAAAAGGGAAATGTTCAAAGTTGAAGAACCTCTGACCTCTAAATCTTAACTATAATAAAGCTATATGGTTTGAGAAGTAATTAATGTTATAATTAATGTCACAACATCCTTTATTATAAAAAAAAAAAAAAACAAAAAAAAAGCACAACATTTGAAAAATAAAATAGCTATATATTATATAATCATATAAAAAATGTACTTTTGAAAACTAAAATAGCTATATATTATATAATCATATAAAAAATGTGTTCAATTAGAGTTTAAATTTACTCATACAAAATTTGAAAATTGCTTTCCAAATGTAACTATTTTAGTTATTATTCGTATTGTGAAAATTATAATATAGATGAAATACAATTAAGAATAAATCAATATAATTATGTAAATTCTCTCTATAAGTTTATTTGAATATGCACATAATTAGAGATTATATTAACCATACAAAATTTTAATTTTAATTGTACTTTTGTATTCTATAAAAATAATAAATACTTGACCAATGGAAGCTCAAAAATATTATTATATTAAACAATTTAAAATATTTTAGTTTTTCTATTTTTTATTTATATTTATAATAACATAATTTTTTCCCGTGCATCGCGCGGGTGAATTACTAGTTAAAATACAATAAGAATATGTACCTACTGAATCAATGAGTTAAGTACGTGCAAACATAATTTATTTTTTCTTGTGTACACGGATGAGCAGCCATTATTTAGTTTAAAAAGATAATTATTTTTTATAATATATTTTAAGAATTTAACAGCGGTACATTTACAACGTATTACATATTTTACCATTGAATATTCATGCATGAGACTTCACAAAAGTTTGAGTGATTAGGAAAATTTAGAGCTACTGCTTGAAGAATTGCACTAGGCCGGTAAACTCTACTCAACAATTTTAGCCAACAAAGAAAAATCTTGTCGTGTGACTATAGTTGACAATTGACCAAAATGACATAAATTATCCATAATTGACTAGTCCAAATCAAGAATAATTGGCAAATTATACCGTGCACCAGGGCGCACAATGACCCAAAACAACGTCGTTTTGTACCTTGTTCATGTGTTTGTTGTTAACCCCTTTAAAAAATTCTCATGTTTTGAATGTACAGAATTATATAATAGAAAATACATAATTTTATACTTGAAAACACATAATTTTATACCTGAAAACACATAATTTTATAACTGAAAATTCCCATGTTTCGAATGTACATAATTATATAATAGAAAACACATAATTTTATACCTGAAAATACAGAATTTTATACCTGAAAACACATAATCTTTTTTAAAAGAATAAAAATCTCCTCTTTCGAATGCACATAATTTTATACCTGAAAACACATAATTTTATAACAGAATACAAAACGACGTAATTTTGGGAGGCACGGGGCACACATTGCTATGTGCGCCCTGGTAGGGACGGAGCCAGAAATTCGATTGAGGGGGGGGGGGGGGGTGGGGGGGGGGGAGTAGGACGGATTCAGAAATTTTTTTCAGTAAAAGCGAAACATTAAAACAAAAGATATAATTTAAAAAAATAAATAAATTACCTAAGAATTTTTTTTTTTTATAACCATTACTTAAGAAATATAATTGTAATTTAATAAAATAATTTGAATAGAAAACACATTATAAATTATACATATCACTATTAATATAAAAGAATGTTATATATATATATATATATATATATATATATATATATATAAAGCCATAGGGGAATGACAAAATGTGCTAATACATGGTTTTGAACCCAAAACCTTTCCTATTACTATAAATATGCTCTACCAACTAATCTAACTCTTTACTTGTTAACATTTACTAGTTTTTTTTTATACTAATACTAAAACATATACTATATATATGTTTTAGTATAAGTGATATTCCTACGGGAGTGTAGGAAGGGAGGAAAGTAGCACGAAGCTGTGAAATCCTGGATTGTCACACGGAGCAGTGAGATCTGAAGCAGCAGTGTCGGAGGGACTGGGCGTGATTAGTGCGGGCTTTGTGATCAAAGCACTAGATCACGGGATACGTTTCTACCGGAGTGTGGAAGACGGGGGGAAAGTAACGTGGAGTCGTGAAAACATGGGATAGTAGCGCGGTGACGTGAAACCCGAAGCAGCAGTGTGGTGTCACTGGGCGTGATTAGTGCGGACTTGGTGATCAAAGCACTAGATCACGGAATTCATTGTATCTTGGAACCAAGAAGTGGTGGATATAGTGAATTGCTCTTGGAGATAAGAGCAAGTGGAGTAGGAGGATTACACCACCTCCGAACCACTATAATTGTCTTGTGTTCTTTACTGCTTTCTTTACTTACTGCTCTTTACTTGCTTCACACAAGATATACTTGTCACAATCTCACACACACTTTATCTTTATTTATTTCCGCTGCGTACCATACTCTAACAATCTAGTTAAGAGTTTTGGTTTCTTTGTGTCTTAGCAATTGTTGTGCTGTGCGAAAAAGTTTGAAAGTCTATTCACCCCGCCCCCCCCCCCCCCCCCCCCCCCTCTCTAGACTTTAACCTTACCTCTTTTGGGACCAACAATTGGTATCAGAGCAGGCTATCTATTTAGGCCAATTTGCTATATAAGCACGTTGCCTAATTGGGTCAACCTTTTCTGACTGCTAGACAGATCCATTCTACAAAGTGTGTGATTAGATTAACCTTTCATATCTCTCGTGATGATGATGAAGAAAGATTTAGCTCAAAATCTATTATTCTCACTTGATAATTTGATGATTGGAAAGTTCGTATGCAGGTACACTTATCGGCTTTACACGTGAAATGTGGGAAGTTATTTCCACTGGTCCTATCGAAATATTAAAAGTCAATACGGCATTTGTCTTATCTCCGGATGCTCCACAGTACGTACAAAAGCCTAAACCGGAATGGACATCGGATGATAGAACACGGAATAATCTTGACAATATTGCCAAGGATATTCTATTCAAAGCCGTGGATGATACAATATTTCCGAAGATCGAAAGTGTGCTACTGCTAAAGAAATATGGTAAACTCTCATCAAGATTGGCGAAGGAGATGAACAAGAGAAAGACAATAAGCTCACAATCGCCATGAAGAAGTTTGATGATTTCAAAATGCTCTCAAATGAAAGTGTTGCAGACATGGAAGCTTGAATGATCAAAGTTCTTGAAGAGATTAATGATCTTGGCAAAAATATTAGCCAAAAAGAAATTAATCTCAAAATCCTACGACGCTTACCATCTGCATGGGATATGAAGGTTACGGCTATGCGCGATCACCAAGATCTAAGAATGTTGTCAACAGACAAATTATTTTGTGATCTAAAAGCATACGAGTTTGAAATGAAAGCCAAAGATGATGATGTTCATGAAGATCGAAATTCTACTTTAATGGCCGAACAACCGTCAACCTCCAGGTCAGTAGATAATATTGATTATATGACTGACGAACAGTTTGCTCTTTTTGTTAAAAGATTTAAAAGGTTTATGCGAAAAGGAGACAACAAAAATTCTGCTGGTGGAAAATTCGTCTCTCGCACGCCACAAGAATAAAAGGTCGAAGAAAACAACAATTTATGCTACAATTGCCGCAAACCCGGACATTTTTAAATAAATTGTCTATATCCGATCGTTAGCAAGTACC